AAATATTCAGGTGCCAGATTCAAGCCAAATGGTAACCTGCGAAACTTGTAACAACCAAACGGAGTAGCAAATGTTGTTAAATTACTAGAAGGTTTATCCAATCTTATTTGATAAAACCCATCCTTGAAATCTAATACAGAAAAATATTTCTTACTTGCTAATCTAGAACTAATTTCTTCCAGACTAGGGATTTCAAAAAATTGCCTTTTGATGCACCTATTCAAGTTTTGAGTATCTAAACACAACCCTAAAGATTTATTGTGTTTTTCAATAATTACTAAATTATTTACCCACTCACTTGCCTCATTTACTCTGCTTATTATATTTTGTCTTTCTAATCTATCTAATGTTTGCTTCAACCTATCTTTTATAAGTAATGGTTCCCGCTTTGCAGGTCTAGCTGCAAGTATACTGTTTTCCATTAACTCTATTTTATAAATATCCCGAAAAGTGCCTATACCCTCAAAAAGATCCCTATTTTTACAAGTTATTTTCTCTTTATCCTGGGAAAGCGTTTGACAAATATTAATGGTGTCTGATTTTTTAATTAACCCTAATATACAGGGTGGGACACGAAAAACTTTCTACCCAGAGTTTCTCAGGTGTTAGGTGTTTGATCAAAAATCGCTCAGACACGTCAATTTTGGTTTTTTGGGGGACACATTTTATTGCTATTTTCACCACCTATACCTGTTAACCCCTAAGTGGGGGTAACAGGTACTTCCAAAATTTTAAATGGAAAAAGAGGTCGAGTGATATGTCATTCATCAGCTATTTTCATTAAGATTATATCCCCGAAGTTTTAAGTTGCTACTATTTACCCTGCCGAAATGGCGGCATGTCAAAGTAAGGATAAATGCTTTTTTTCGATAATCTAAACTGTATAGTTTTTACCTGTCACACCTATGCGTTACTATGCGTAGGTAACAGGTAACAGGTAAAAACCACACAGCATTTTTCCATTGATTTTTCCTAACTTTGACAAGTCGCTATTTCGACAGGGTAAATCGTAGCAACTTAAAACTTCGGGGATACAATCTCAATAAAAATATAGTTATCAAATGACGTATCACTCGACCCCCCTTTTCATTTGAAATTTTGGGGGTACCTGTCACTCTTACTTAGGGGTTGACAGGTAGGGGGTGAAATACCAATAAAATGTGTCCCCCAAAAAACAAAAATTGACGTGTTCGAGCGATTTTCAATTAATCACCTAACACCTAAGAAAACCTGGGTGGTAAGTTTTTCGTGCTCCACCCTGTATATCCTATTGACAATCCGATGTCCACAGGTACAGGTAAATTTATCACCTTCCCCTATCAAATAGCATTGAAAGGTGATAAATTTTACCTGTACCTGTGGACATCGGATTGTGAATGGATAATTTATATCATGTTGACAGGCCAATTATTGGTATGGACATCTAAATCTACAATAATAAATTCTAAATTAAATAATTTCTCTGACTTTATGCATGGCAACTCAATTTTTCCTACTGAATTCAACTTTATTCTACCATATGCTTCTAACATGATGCCAGATTTTTTTAATTTGTGACACCCATTAACCTTACAAGAACCTGTATCAATCTTGAAACTTATGTTCTTATCATGTACCTTTATATTTTCAACCCATAGATACTACTTTATTTTTATTTTTTATTTCACCAACTTGCTTAATACTACATACAGGGTGCGTCACTATATTTTGACATTCACCTGCAGCCATAATTACAGGTTATAGGTAAAAGGTGTAAATACAAAAGTTGTAGCATTTTATCTGAACCACCAGAATTTTTAATTAGATTGAACAAATGAGCAACACAAAGTGAAAAAATATGTCAATGTTCACTTTTTTTAAAATAGAATGCACTCTCTATTTCCTTTCAAATTCTTGAAGTACTCGTTTTTCTGATTCAAAATATAAAATAGGTATGTTAATGTTTCTTTCAACAGTTTCGGAAATATCTCGAGTTTAGTGATTCAGGTGTTACAGGTGACACGTAAACCAAGGTAAATTATATTCAAAAAACTACTGTTTTTGAATAACTAAACTCCAGATATTTCCAAAACTATTGAAAGAAACATTAATATATTATATAATCTGGATCAAAAAAAAACGAGAACTTCAAGAATCTGAAAGAAAATAAAGGGCATTCCATTTGAAAAAAGAGAACATTGACATATTTTTTTACTTGGCGTTGTTCATTTTGTTCAATCTAATCAAAAATTCTAGCGGTTCAGATAAAATGCTACAACTTTTGTATTTACACCTTTTACCTATCACCTGTAATTGCAGCTGCAAATAGGTGTCAAAATATGGTGACTCACTCTGTACATATAATTCATCAGTTTCTTCTTCCACACTGTCATCACTGTCTATTTTTTTCTGAATAAGTTCTTTAATTGTTTTAACGTTGTTTCCTTGACGGTTTTCAAATTTTTCTGCTAGACAAACACTACTATAATGATTGTCTTTACCACACTTGAAGCATTTTTTTTCCAAATGCAGGACATTCTGTACAAATCCATGTTTACCGTTGCACTTTTTACAGAGAACGGTTTTTATTTTGCGATCTATTTTCTCTTTTCTTTTCATCCTTAATGCATCTACTCCAGAACATTATTTTTCTCTTACTGACTATAACTGATTTTTCGTTGCTTCAGCACTTCTACATATTATGTCTACTGCTTTTTCAAGTGGCAGTTTTTGTATATTCAATAGTTTTTCTTGAACATTTGGATCATTTGTTCCTAATATGATCCTATCAATTAAAAAACTATCTTCTTGGGTATCATATTCACAAATTTGAATTACCTTCTTTAACTCACTCACTGTACTTTGATCACGGCTATTGAATACAAAGTCTTCATTATTTTTTCTCGGAGCACAGTTCTATTTGAATTCAGTTATGACACTGTCAAACTTATCTTTATCTGAAATCTTTAATAAGTTATAGATTTCAACTTCATCAGAACCAATTAGATTCAAAAACAATGCAATTTTTACCTTATCTGGCTTTGAATCCTTTTCAGTTGCAATCAGGTAGATTTTAAAGTTTTGATAAAACCTTTTAAAACTTTAGTTCAAGTTTTCGTCAGTTTTCATTGGCTCTGGTAACCTTCCGACCATTTTACTTTTCAGGAATGCTTACCAATGGTCCTTCATCAACTGCGCCATGTAATAATATTGTTATACTTAATGTTGTATCAAGTTCTTTATTAAATTCTGAATATCATGTGGACAATATCTAACCAATTATTATTATTTCTAGTTTGTAAGTCAAATGAGGTTCCCCAAACGATGTATTTTGGTACTGCTTATAATTTCCAGTACTGTTTGTGCCCGAGACTTGGGTGGAAGAAATGTCCATATTTTCACAAAAACCCTTTTTTTGATAAATCGCAAGTATTAGTTTCACCCCCTTAAACCATCCTCAAAGTAATTTGCAAGTCAAGTGAGGTTCCCTAAACGATGTATTTTGGTACTGCCTATAATTTCCAATACTGTTTGCGCCCGAGACTAGGGTGGAAATGTCCATATTTTCACAAGAACCCCTTTTTTCGATGAATCGCAATTATAAGTTTGACCACCGCCAAAGTAATTTGCGAGTCAAATGAGGTTCCCCAAACGATGTATTTTGGTACTGCCTATAATTTCCAGGACTATCTGTGCCCGAGAATAGGGTGGAAGAAATGTCCATATTTTCACAAAAACCCTTTTTTCGATGAATTGCAATTATTAGTTTTACCCCCTTAAACCACTCTCAAACTAGTTTGCAAGTCAAATGAGGTTCCCCAAATGATGTATTTTGGTACTGCCTATAATTTCCAGTACTATTTGCGCCCGAGACTAGGGTGGAAATGTCCATAGTTTCACAACAACCCTTTTTTCGATGAATCGCATTTATAAGTTTAACCACCTCCAAAGTAATTTGCAAGTCAAGTGAGGTTACCCAAACGATGTATTTTGATACTGCCTATAATTTCCAGTACTATTTATGCCCGAGAATAAGGTGAAAGAAATGTCCATAGTTTCACAAAAACCCTTTTCTCGATGAATTGCAATTATTAGTTTTACCCCCTTAAACCACTCTCAAAGTAGTTTGCAAGTTAAATGAGGTTCCCCAAACGATGTATTTTGGTACTGCCTATAATTTCCAGTACTGTTTATGCCCGAGAATAGGGTAGAAATGTCCATTTTCACAAAAACTCTTTTGCCTCAAATTACTTAACACGATTTTATTTCTGGAACTATAGTTCCAAATGACCTGAAATTTTCAGGGATTGTAGTCCTTTTGCTGGAATAAGAATCGATGAAAATTTCAGCTTTCTATCTATGATAGAAAAAAAGTTATACCTTTCAAAGTTGTCCAAAATCCAAATCATAAGTACTACCTCAGTACTAAAATGATTAAATTTCAATTTTTTTCATGCTGAGATTTTGGTCTAAATGATCATTAGGGACCCCTCAAACTCCATACACTAAATTATTTTGAGATTTAAACCCAAAATCTATGAAAAAAGGCACTCAGAAAAATTGAAACATTGATATTTTACTCCAAATTGCTTAAAGTGATTTTATTTCAGAAACTTAAGTCCAAATGAGCTGAAATTTTCAGGGATTGTAGATTTCAACTGGGATAAGAATCGCTGAAAATTTCAGCTTCCTATCTCTAATGGAAAAAAAATTATGATCTTTCAAAGTTTTCAGAAATCTAAATCATAAGGTAACTTTAGTTCTAAAATGATGAAATTTCAAATTTTTTTTACTTATGTTGAGATTTTGTGTCTAAATAATCATTTGGGACCGTCTAAACTTCATACACTAAATTACTCTGAGATTTGGAGCCAAAATCTATGAAAAAAAGGCACTCAGAAATATTGAAAAATCATCAAATTTACCCCAAATTGCTTAACGCGATTTTATTTTTGAAACTGTATGTCCAAATACCGAACTGAAATTTTCAGGGATTGTAGTCCAAAATCCAAAATTCTTACCAGGTACAATTCCTTTCAACAACGTAAACGGATCATTTGATAGAATCCCTCTCGCATTGCTCTCAGGCCCAGTAGAATTCTGGCCCTTTTTGTTCAACCCGTCCATGATTTCGTCCAGTTCTTTGCACTGGTCCATCAGAGTGATCATTTCGTAAAACGTGATGCCTACTGGACGGGCAACTTTACCGAAATCATTGCCGAGGACTTTGACGTAATCTTCAGGTGTACTAAAAGAAAGTAGGTATATTTTATTTTTGAAAAATATAATAATACGTCATTGTGAGTTGCATTGTGAGCCTAATTATTTTAACTAATGTATATGGTTATATTAAAAAGCAATCAGTAGCTATAATTAATTTGTGTTTCCTCATAGATAATTATATTTCTGCGTATAACATAACATAATTATTATAATATGACAAAACTTATTAATGATTTTGTCTTTGTTACAGGTAGGTACTTTGCCCTTTCATTGTACCTATTTAAAAGGTAAGTACTGAATCACTCTGTATACCTATATTTGAATAATTTATATCTTGGCTGCGGGAAATTATCGGCCATTCTACTTTCAGTGCAACAAACGCATGTCGAAACATTTGCGTATATATGCTAATGGAGTAATTAGTTACAGGGTCATTTTATGTACAAGCAAATTATGGAAATCGTCAAAAAAAATAAATAATTATTATTATCGAATACAGGACTTTATCTAAAAAAAAAAATTAACACGTAACTGCTTTACCAAAGGAAATACATATTGCAGTTTGTCCTTTTTCATACAACGCCTGGGAATTTTTTTTTTTACTCATTGAAAAAGTGTTTTAAGATCTTTTAATTGGTAATATTTAAATTTAAATATAAAAGAACTAATTAACAGATGAGATATTATTAAGCAATGTCAGTCATGTGTGAAAGATATGAATCCATCCAATATACAGGGTGTTACAAATACAAATTCGTTAGTGTGTTGTATATATCTCTCATAATTACCGAGATCCCCATACTTACTTGTGAATTTGTAACACCCTGTATATCTATTTTTTTTATTGTAAAAATTCAAATGAGCCAACAACAAGGAATTTAGCAAATTAATTTATTTTTTGGTGGTATTTCAACAATCCTTGTATCTCATGGAGCCTATTAACTCCTCTTCAATGGCAGTTTACCATATAATGGGGGGAAAACCAAGAGCTGAAATTTTCAAGGTTTTTGCTCACTAGAATAAGATTCTTTGAAAATTTAATAAAATTAACTATTTTATAGGTATAATTTTCTGATAATCAAGAAATTAAAGAGAAATTATTATAAACTATTATTTGTTGAGTAGGCTTCGGACATATGCATAGCGGGGAAATCTAGATTAAAAGGAAATTAAAACTTTCTATCGATCTATATTTATTGAAATATATTGACGGAAAGGATCGTTACAACATCCGTCTCAAAATATTCAAATTCAAAATCATCCAACCATAATATTAATGCGCTAATATTTATTCAGCAAGAGTTGGTTTTTATTTTTACACTTCATTTGTATTCATCCGGGTATACAATCATCAAGCATTTGATTTTTTGAGATTTTTAACGAGTTTGATTTATTAAATATAGAGGAAATTAATCACGTTAATAATGAGAAAGTTAATATTTAAATGTTGTTAAGTAAAAAATAAAAATCACTTACAAAACTTCAATAATCTCACAATTTAAGAGCAGTTTCCTTGGTCCTAGTTCTACAATAGCTACAGTTTGATCGTGAAAATAAACCATCCTGGTGGAGTTTTCGATTTTTCTACCGCTGTACTGCTTCAGGACTCCCATTCCGTTATCGGCAGCATCAGCGTTGAAAGGTCCCCGGAAAGTCAATCCTCCTAGCGAGGGCTTACCTCGAATTTCCAACAAAAGGCAAAACAACAAAAATAATGCGACCATAACATGATTTCCTAATGTCAGAATTGGCATTTTTCTGGTATCAAACAAAAATACACAAGTCACATAATTCAAATAGTACCGCGCGCGCGAAGTACTGGCAGTACTGGCGGCCGTTAAAAGCGCGAATGAAAACGCTTTGTCTTCTCGAAGGTGGTGGTGATATGCACTTTTTTTTTTGTTGGTGGTACTGAAGCAAATTGTGGTACCGATGAATTGGATTTTAAAGCGCCTTTTTTAGGTCACCGCTGATGAAAAAGAAATGACCCACAGCGTAGCACAGATTAACCGTGAAGCACGCATTTATTTAATTGTTCTTTGGTAGACAAAAATGCGTACCGCAGAAGGTGTTTAGCACTCGGGTGAAAACTATAATTGAGCTCAATGCAGTTTTGTTTAATTGTTTTAGAATGAAATTGCCCTTCAGATGATTATGATTATTTTTTCTGTGGTCAAAAACTATTTCCTATCTTTTTTGGGGACTAGTTTTGACTTTTAAATCCATTTTCTTGACAACTATTCAAAAATTCACACTACATTGCTTAAAGCGATTTTATCTCTGGAACTATAACTCCAAATGAGCTGAAACTTTCAGGGACTGTAGTCCTCTACTGGTATAAGAATCGCTGAAAATTTCAGCTTTCGATCTTCAATAAACAAGTTATACCCTTTCAAAGTTTTCCAAAATCTAAATCATAAAGTAGGTACCTTCTTACTATAACGATGAAATTTCAAATTTTTTTTGTCGAGATTTTGTATCCTAATGGTCAATTAACATACCCCAAACTCCAGACACTAAATAATTCTCAGATTTCAGAGCCGAAATCTATGAAAAAAGGCACTCAGAAAAACTGAAAAGTTAATAAATCACCCCAAATTGCTTAACACAATTTTATCTCAGGAACTATAAGTGTAAATGAGCTGAAATTTTCAGGGATTGTAATCCTTTGATTGGGATAAAATTCAGTGGAAGTTTCAGCTTCCCATCTATAACAGAAAAAAAGTTATGACCTTTCAAAGTTTTCCAAAATCTAAATCATAAGGTAGGTACCTCGTAGATCTACCTTCTCACTAAAACGATAAAATTTCAATTTTTTTTTTTTTGTCAAGAGTTTGTATCCTAATGGTCAATCAACATATCCCAAACTCCATACACTAAATTATTCTCAGATTTGAAGCCAAAATCTATGAAAAAAGGCATTCAGAAAAATTGATAAGTCATCCCAAATTGCTTAACATGATTTTATCTCAGGAACTATAGGTGCAAATGAGTTGAAATTTTCAGAGATTTTGATCCCTTGAAAGAGATAAAATTCAGTGAAAGTTTCACCTTTCTATCTATAATAGGAAAAAAAATTATGACCTTTCAAATACGATGAAATTTCAAATATTTTTCTATCGAGATTTTGTATCCTAATGGTCAATCAACATACCCCAAACTCCATACACTAAATTATTCTCAGATTTGGAGCCGAAATCTATGAAAAAAGGCACACGCAAAATTGCAAAATTGATAAACCCACCCCACGTTGCTTAACACGATTTTATTTCTGAAACTATACTTTTGTCAAAATGAGCTGAAATTCTCAGGGATTGTAGTCCTCAACTAGAATAAGAAGCGATGAAAATTTCAGCTTTCTATCTACAATAAAATGTTGAGATTGTGTGCATCGCCAAACTTATAAAAATTCCTCACAAAGCATACAGATATGACACAATTTTTTAACACAATTAATAAAATATATATTACATTTTTTAATAATACAATAAAATACCACAAAATATCATTGATAATCCTTAATAACCATATCCCCAATCAACAATTTTTGAACATCATTCACTCCTGCATATATTTCGGTGATTCTTGCATCTCTATAGTACCTTTCAGCTGGCATGTCACTCACATACCTTAAAACGAATCACATAATTCCAGCATTTCAATTAAAAATAAACATCTTCTTACCCCATTCCACCCAAAATCTGTATAGCACCGTGAGAGACAAAAGTAGCAGCTTCACTGGCAGCTAGTTTAGCCATAGAAGTATACTTTGTCGTCCTCGATTTTTCATCACTTATAACAGCAGCTCTCCAAACTAAAAGACGGGCTGCTTCTAATTTCGTTGCCATATCGGCCAGTCTTAGTTTTACAACTTGCAACTTATTAATAGGCTCCCCAAAAGATTTTCTTTCCCAAGAGTATTTCACAGCTAATTCTAAAGCTGCTTGACCTATCCCCAAGGCTTGTGAGGCAATACCAATCCGGGCCTTTTCTAGTTGTTGCATTGCTATAATGAAACCTTGTCCTGGAGCACCTATAAGATTTTCTTTTGGCACACGTACATTTTCTAGGATTAAATTACAAGTTGAAGAAGCTCTAATGCCCATTTTGTTTTCCGGTTTTCCAGTTGAAAGGCCTGGAGTTGAGGCAGGAACAATAAATGCAGTAATACCTTTAAGAAACTAAAATTTTATTCAAAATTTATTAGATTGTTAGTATTTTTTTAATCACCTTTGTGCTTTAAAGCTGGATTTATTGTGGCAAAAATTATAGATGCTTTGCCTTCTTTGCCACTAGTAACCCATGACTTTGTACCGGTTAAAATATAGGAATCTCCATCTGGTACTGCTATGGTTGAAATGGCGCTGACATCACTTCCAGCGTTTGGTTCGCTCAAAGCAAAGCAGCCAAGGGTTCCACAAGTGAAGGGCGCAAGAAATTTCTCTTTTTGATTTTCGGTGCCAAAGGTTTGAAGTAAATTGACATACAGGGCGTTGTGTATTGATACAATGGTACCTGTGAATTATATTTTATGTTCTACTGTATTTAATAATTATTAACGAGATGAAGTGAAAAAAGAATTGGAAAATATGGTTGAGTTAGGTGTCATTAAGCCCGTCACAGAAGCTACTCCTGCAGTCAGTCCGTTAGTTATACTGTTAGGCAAAAAGGTAAATTAGGAATCTGCATAGATCCTACAGATGTTAACAAAAACATTTTAAGAAGACATTATTTACTGAAAACCATGGAAGAAATTTCAGCACAAATACGTGGAGCCAAATATTTTACACTTTTAGATTGCAAAAGAGGGTTTTGGCAAATAAAAGTTGCAGAGCAGTCTCAAAAATATCTCACGTTTTCAGCACCATGAGGACGTTATGTTGCACTCGTCTACCATTTGGAATTTGTTCAGCACCAGAGGTATTTCAAGAAATGATGAGTTCCTTGTTAAAAAACATTCACTGCTCAATGGATGATATTCTTATTTATTCCGACCTCGATTCTGACTCTCAGGAAGGAGTAGAAAAAATTATTAAAAAAGTAATGGAAACATTGGAAAATTCTGGATTGAAACTCGTCAAAGAAAAATGCATTTTCAATGTTAAAAGAGTTAAGTTTCTTGGGCATATTTTATCAGAAAATTGTACTGAAATTGATGATACCAAGGTGGCAGCTAGGTATCAAAAATTTAAAGACACCAACAAATATAACAGAACTACAAAGGTTGCTAGGCATGGTAACATATTTGAATAAATTCATACCAAATATGTCTGAGCTTACAGATCCTTTGCGAAAGCTTCTAAAAAGGGATGTTGAATTTATTTGGGACATAGAACAACACGAAGCTTTCAAAAAAATAATGGCACAGTTAACTAGTGCACCTGTTCTGAAATTTTACGATGTAAACAAGGATGTTACATTATCAGTAGATGCTAGTTCGAAAAATTTAGTGTCTGACTTGATTCAAAAAAATCAACCCATTGCATATGCTACTAGATTATTAATACCGTCACAGCAAAATTGAGAAAGAAGCGTATGCAATAAAATTTGGATGTGATGAATTTCATCAATATATACTGGGTGTCCCATGAAGTTTTTCCCGAAAGATAACTTCGGAACGCATCATCGTATGTTCAACTGTATAATTTTTTATCATTTTCTTTAACAGAACCTTAACAAATATGGCATTGCCGATTTTTTAATTTAATTTTCTAACGAAAAATGCCATAGTATACCATGAGTTACATTTAAGATTCGAAAGTTGACGTCACTTGACCGAAATTGAACTGAAAGTGGTGAAGTTGGATGACAATGGTAGAAACGGCACACAAAGTTACCCACATCCTCAAAATTTCAATTATATTGGATGACGCGTTAAGAAGTTATTAAGGTAAATGCATCAATAATTGACCCAATTAGACTTTCTTATGGAATTTAAATGTATCTTTGGGGACCCAGTAATTGACACCTATTATCCAATTATTGACAGTTATTGACACAATTTTTTTTTCTTAGTACATGATTATATAAAATGAGTAATAATAAGCCACAGCTGCTAGAATTTCATCCATCTGCTCTTTGAAGTATTTTTTTTTGATGTCGTTTTACCAATAATTGACACCCGAGTTGACACCCATGTGAATAACTGGAATAAGTGATTTTTTTAAACTCATATGTGAGCAACCTGCCAAATATTGCAATGTTTCCTTATGATTGTGTTGAATTTGTTACGAGATTCATTCATTGACACATCAGTCAATAATTGGTAAAATCTGTCAGTCAAAATGACAATATGTTGGCAATACAATGTGAAATTGTCAATGCCTTCAAATTTTTTATGTAAAAGAGGCTTGTGTTGCCAACATAGTTACTAAATTTTTGACTTGGGGAATTATCTTTAAAAAAAAAACAGACTTTACATGATCATAATCACTTGACCCAGTCTTTGACACCCATGCCAATCTCAGGCAACGCGGTTTACTAATAAATACACATAAAAAAACCTTTCAACCATACTTAAACTCTGCCCTCAAACATATGGAATAAATTAAACATTGATCCATTTAGGAATAAAAAAAATTTATTTGATTTGTTTTCCTTAATAATTCTTTTAATTTTTCTCATTCGACAGGTAACGAGCATTTTCACATTTTAAAATAACTAGCAGATATCAGCTAATTTCTTTCATAGCTGGTAGAGTATTGCCAAATATCATATTAATCAAGTTTTTTTTATTGAGAATGGCTCTGGGTCGTCGAGTTATCTAGTTTCGATAACATTTACCTTTAAGTGTCAATTACTGGAGCACTGTCAATCACTGGTGCATTTACCTTACCTGAGAAAAACGTCGTGGGACACACTGTATATGGCAAGAAACTCACAGTAGAAACAGACCATAAGCCATCAGAAGCTATTGTCAAAAAAACCCATCCACTTTGCGCCACCCAGGCCCCAGGTTACAATGAATATTATTGGAAATATCACAGTATTCGCCCAAAATAATATACAAAAAAGGTAAATACAGGATACCTTTAGCAGATATTTTAAGTAGGGATTGTGAAGAAACTGGAGAAAATCAGGAAAACGAGGAAGAATTAGAAATACAAATTGTCCTTTCTATGACCGAGAATGCACAGGAAGAATTAATAGAAGCTACAAAATTGGATCCTCAACTGCAATTACTATGAAAGTTTATATTAAACGGATTTCCAAACTCAGACGATGTACCCAAAAATATTAAGCACTACGTAACTTTCAGAGACGAACTGGCAGTTTACAACGAACTCATATTCAAGGACGAAAAAATAATCATTCCAAGATCTCAGGTATCTAAAATGTTAAGAAAATTCATGAAGGTCATTTTGGTATCCAAAGTTGTCTTAAACGAACAAGAGAACTACTTTACTGGAGAGGCACATCACAAGATATTCTTAGTTATGTTCAAAAATACAGAGCTTGTGGAAAATATCAAAGAGCTAATGAAAAGGAAACAATTTTATGTCCGATTGACCAATAAAGTGCTATTTATAGAACAGTTTTGCGTCAATAAAGTAGCACTTTATTGTACTAGTAAAATAAAGTGCTACTTTATTGCCTACCTGGACTACCTGATAAGGTGAAACAGGTCCTGACAACCTGCCAAAGTGAGACAGGTCCTGACAACCTGCCAAGGTGAAACAAGTATACCTACGCGAATTTTACTTTTTTCATTCAATTTTTTTAATTTTTAATAAAAACCAGTCAGAATCGTACATAAAATCATGTATATAACGCTTACATAAACAGGCTTTATTGACTCACTATTTAATAGCCTCGCTCGCAAGCTCGCTCGGCCATAAAATTATTCGTACAATAAAGCCTTACTTTATGTACTTGTTATATAAATAGCTATTACTGAAGCCACTACCAGAATTACCATGGCAAAAAGTCGGCTCTGATTTGTTAAGTATGCATGGAAATGTTTATTTTACTATTTACGACAGTTATACTCTGGGTTTTTGGACGTGAAAAAACTCAGAAATCAGACATACTTGGCAGTAATCGGCTATCTCAAAGAATGGTTTGCAGTTCATGGAATTCCTAAAAAACTAGAAACTGATAATGGATACTTCTAGAAAATTTAAAGATTTTTCTAAAAAATGGTGTTTTCAGCATGCAATCAGTAGTCCATAATCATCCAATATAATTGCAAAATTATAAATTATGAAAAACTTTCTGGGGAAATGAGGGCTGAGAATTGGGGTGATGTTCTGCAGGAAAATGATGTACTGCTGAGTACAAATGTGTTTATAAGTAAATTGAAAAATATGATTTCTGAATCCACTACTGTAAGGATTATATCTAGTAAATATAGAAGGTTAAAGCCATGGATCACTGGTGGCCTCTTGGTATCAATTAAAACCAGAGATCGCTTAAAAAAAGAATGTACTCGTAACCAAAACAATGAAATACTTATAAATAGGTACAAAAATTATAGAAAAACTTTAAGTAAGCTAATAAAAAGTGACAAATATTTTTATTATAAAACGTTAACGTGGAAAGTTATTAAAGAGGCCACCAATGATCAGGACACTAAATCGGAAATTAATTGTATTACAAGTGAATTAAATGTGGATCTAACAGATAAGAAACAGATAGCAGATGAATTTAACACTTATTTCTGTAACATTGGAAAAAGGCTGGCAGAAAAAATAAAACAGGGCAATCAGGTGGTAAATTGTGTGAAGGAGGGGAGTATTCATTCATTTTTTTTGGGTCCTGTCTCAAATGAAGATGTGAAGGAAATGATATTGGGTTTGAAAAATGGAGTCAAGGGTGGGGAGGACGATATTTCTTCGAATCTAATAAAAAAATATAAAGATACATTGTGTAACCCTCTCAGGCATATAACTAATCTCATTTTCAGTACAGGTGTTTTTCCCGATATTCTTAAAACTACTGTAATTATTCCATTATATAAGCAGGGGGATAAAAAATCACTATCGAATTACAGACCAATAGCATTGACTAGCAGCATTAGCAAGATTGTTGAAAAGTGTTTTAGGAAAAATCTATTGACATTTTTAGAGCAATACAATTTACTTCATAAAAACCAATTTGCCTTTACAGAGAACCTAAGTACTGAAAATGCACTTGTGAGGGTTTCAGAGGGAATTTTGAAAAACTTAGATCAGGCTAATAAAGTAATAGCAATCTTCTTAGACCTAAAAAAGGCTTTTGACATTGTTTCACACCAAATTCTCCTAAATCGATTAGACACTATGGGAATTCGAGGTATTCCAAATGAGCTGATTAAATTCTACATGAGTGGTAGAACACAAAGCACAAAGATTGGAGATCAGCAGAGTGATAAACTTTGAATGGAGTCTGGTGTGCCGCAGGGAACTGTTCTCTCACCTCTTCTTTTTAATATTTATATAAATGGAATAATGGAATTGTTCGGGGAGGATATTGTCTTTTGCTTTGCTGATGACACTGCTATTGTCCTAAATGGAGCTAGCTGGGAAATTGTAAAAAAAAGAGCAGAGTCAGCACTGCAAAGGATAAAGGGATGGTTGGATGATAGTCTTCTATCATTAAACATAGAAAAAACTAAATTTATGACCTTCTCTCTTTCTACGCATACATTCCCTGATTTCCAACAACTTAAAATGCATGAAACGCAGTGCGTTTTTGAACTGCAATGCAGCTGTAACAAATTTATTGTTAGAACACCTTCATTATTCTACTTAGGGGTGATTCTGGATGAAAATTTAAATTGGAAGGAACATGTACATTATGTTACCAAGAAAATAAGAAAGCTAATCTACAAATTTTATGAATTAGGGAACATCCTTGACTTTACAACACTTAAAATGATTTATTACTCTCTTGTTGAATCAATTTTGAATTACGGGATAGTGGTTTGGGGAAATGCTGGCGTTTCAATTCTATCAAAATTGCATGTTGCACAAAAATGGATTTTAAAAATTATTCTTTTTAAAAAAAGGAGGTATCCCACAAATTTGGTATTCAATGACAGCGGTGTTCTCAATCTTGAACAGCTATACATAAAATCAGTAATTAGATTTATGCTGAAAAACAATTACTTTAGAGTAGATTTAGGACATGGAGTGAATACTAGAGGTGCGGGTCATGGAAATGTGGAATTACAGAACCCTAAACATGCACGTTGTCAGAATCACATATATTGTGTAGGGCCTAAAATATTTAATGACCTACCAGGTAAATTTAAAACGCAAAACTACTCCACAGCGAAATCCGAAATTACTAAATGGATACTTGTAAATAACTATAAGATTAGTTATTTGATCTAGACAGCCTTTTGGTTTAAACTTCAGTGCTCTCGGTTGTGATTTGTCTTGTTTGTCTGTTTTTTTTCCTTCTAGAACATGCATACCTCATGCTGAACATAATCAGTAAACAAATTGCTCATTTTTGTTAATTTTTATTAGACCTAGACACATATTATGAGGTAACTCATTTTGAAATGGGTAACCTACCTCAAATAGTATTAAACTTGCAATGAAATGGGTGCACACACAATAATATGAATATCATTGTGCACCGAATGGTCAGTAGGAATAAGTTGTTATTAGGTCTGTTCACACAGAGATCGCAGGCCGGTTGGCATGGTTCTCATTGGTTGAAACTAGTTTTCTGACTGTTTCTGACTGTTTTCGGCCTGTGGGGGTCGCACTGGCTGGTTTGTGATTGCTGTGCGAACGGGCCTATTATTTATTATTTATTGTGAATATGTAATAGTATTATGTATATTTTTGTTATACTACTGATAAATAAATAAATAAATAAATAAATAAAATCCAAAAGGCAATAATTTATCGGGAAGAGGTGTTCAAATTGCAAAAAAATCTGTTAAAAAAATGTACAGACGACAAATCAGATATACAGAAAAAGTTGAAACCAAATATTCTAAAAGATGTCACAAATGAATTGAAGATTGAGAGAAAAAGAAAAAGATTATGCAGACATACCTACCACTCAACCCCAGAAATATAAAATAGGAGATTCTGTTAGAGTACATAATCTTATAAAAGTATAACTTATCGTTACAGTATACCTGTTCCACCACAGCCTTTTGAAATTTCTTCCACAGCAACCGCTAGGGCTAGGGAGTTTTCGCCAAGACCCCCATACTTGGGGTCTGCAGTGATTCCTAGAAGTCCCATTTGGCCCAGTTTTTGAATCTAAATTCAGTTCTTTGTTAGTTTAAATTTAAAAAGAAAAAAAAAATCACCTGTGCAGCTGGAAATTTCTTTTCCTCATCCAATTGAGCAGCAATAGGTTTCAGTTCCTTTTCAGCAAAGTCTCTACATGTTTTTTGCAATTGTAAGTGTTGTTCGGAAAGTTTGTGCAAACTGAATGACCGTTGTTGTTGGCCAGTTTTTGTATAAGCTAAAGAATTAAAAACTTATTTTAGATTTTTCTTTAAAGGAAATATACTTAACTTACCATTACAAATTATTAAAGTTATCGATCTGAAAGACATGATTTTTACCTGCATTCTATAGAACAAACAGTACTGTTTTAATTTGAAATTAGAAATTTAAATGAGACATTTTTGACCTTCCCAAATCAAATAAAGGTAAATAATGTAATAATAATCTTATCTACGTTTGTAATTTGCAACTAATATTTTCAAATATGTATTATTTAATCAAAAATCTGATTAAATTTCTATCGAGATAATTTTCTAAACTATCCACTTTCTTCAATGGTTTTCTTACTAACATTATTGTTTCTTATTATTGTTTCAAAATAGAATTGTAAATAACATTTTTGTTTGCTCAATATTTTAGAAATAATTACTTTGAAAAAAATACAAAATTTAAAGGGCAAATAATAAACAAATAAATGTCAACAAAGTTCTGTCACAGCTTTTCTGTCTCAAGAGGCCATTTTTAAAACAGTCAACTAGCCATTTAGATGTAAATTTGGCAACGATGCTAAAGGCTGTTATTTTGGTTATTCTTTGTAAATGTGGATATTCCCCTGTTTCTGAGGCGCTTTTGGTTGTTAAAGCTGTTTTTTTTAAGTTTTTTCCTTGGTTTTTTCCTGATTTTATTCATTTTTCTACTCCACAATCTACCTGCACTACTCGATAACTTCCAACTTTGCTTTTTATTTATTGTTGGTGCTGTTTGATGCTTATTTATTGATTGATTTTTTTTTTTTTTTAGTTTAATTTTTGTCTATTCCTGGCTCTTGAAATTATCGAAATAAAAGAAATTCTAATAAAAGTACATCAGTACCTACTAAAATGACAAAAATTCAAATTTTTTTATGTTGAGATTTTGTGTCTAGGCATCGAGCTTTGTCTAGGTATGATTATTAAAGACCCCCCAAACTCCATACACTAAATTATTTTGAGATTTTAAGCCCAAATCCAGTGTTACCAATGTGTGAGCATTTGCTCACATTTGTGAGCATATTATAGATCTGGGGGTAAAAATGGGAGCATTGGCAAGTAGTGAGCATTTTGTGGGCATTTTTGGTATTTATTAATCGAAAAAGTTAAATTAAATTCGTCCCAGCACCAGTCCACGAGAGCCATGTCATAACTTGTGGCATAGCAAAGACCAAGCGCCAACTTTTTAGAAAAGAATTATGTATTTTACGTCACGTCTCAAGATTGTCAAGAGGCCATTTTAGAAACGCTGATACCATCCAAGGATGATACACACTCACTGCTATTACTACAGGATGGCCTATTTTCATAAAGCATGTGTGTAACAAATCCCCCCCACGCCAAAATACCAGTTGTAACGTAGACAGAATGTCATTTCATCCATTTCTTGCCTTGACGAAGGCTGTTTAAACAGCTGACGACTTAGTTATGACGTCGGAAATGGTATCACACCAATATGGCGGCGATTACCAAAAACGAGGCTGATAAGCACTCCTTATGCCCCATTCACACTTGCGCGAAATTCGCTCGTTTTTGACATTGCATCGACAAATTGACGTTTGATATACGCATAAAAAGTCAAATTGTCGAAGAAATCCCCTTGTTTTTATTCTAATCGGTGACTTTACCGATGAATTAGCTATCTTCGTTTAGTGAATGGAAAATGACAATGACCGACATAGAATGGTGGATCCATCGGTAAAATTTGATGAGAATAAAAACGCAGGGAATGACAAAATAGAGCGCATTTCGCGCAAGTCAGGATGAGGCATTAGAGTGTGTATTGTGTATTCTCCTTGGAATGCAAAAGCCAATCACCAGCTGTTTGTTATTTATCTTTTTCTAATGAACACGATTGAAAAAAGACAATGTACATCAGCCTGGTGATCCCGTAGTCAAATATCAAATGTCATACTTAATACTGGGAAAACTCGAAAACTGACATTTTGACATTGAGGTTATTTTTAGTACATGTGAGGATAATGAGAGCGTTTTCACTACAAATGAGGAGCATTTTGAGAACTTCCCGTTGGCAACACTGCCCAAATCTATAAAAAAAGACACTCAGAAAAATTGAAAAATTGATAGAGATTTACTCCAAAGTGCTTAAAGCGATTTTATTTCAGAAACTATGAGTCCAAATAAGCTGAAATTTTCAGAGATTGTAGTCCTCTACTGAGATAAGAATCACTGAAAATTTCAGCTTTCGATCTATTATAAAACAAAAGAATAGGTAAATTGATCATTACGGACCACCCAAACTCCATACATTAAATTATTCTAAGATTTGAAGCCGAAATCTATGAAAAAAGGCACTCAGAAAATCGAAAAATTGATAAATTTACCCCAAATTGTTTAACGCGTTTTTATTTCAGAAACTATAAGTCTAAATGAGCTGAAATTTTCAGGGATTGTAGTCCTCTATTGGGACGAGAATTGCTGAAAATTTCAGTGTTCCATCTCTAATAAAAAAAAAGTTTTCAAAAATCGAAATCATAAGGTATTTTTTCTCAATTATTTTTCTACATTTCTTCTTTATTCAATCCTCAGTTTTCTCGTCTCAATTTAATTTTATTCCCAGCCTTTGAATTTGCTTTTTCTTCAATTTCTTTCAAATCAGGAGAATTTAAAAGCCTACCCAACTAACAATTTATGTTTTATAAATGGCCTAACAACGTTTACAGAACTATTATTATAAAATAACAATGTCGCTATAAACGTTCGAACAACGTTTATACAACGCTTATAAAACCAAAAAGGGCGCACTCTTGCGCAGCAATTTTGTTCTATACCAATGTTTTATTATGGCTTCCACATCTTTTACCGGATAATTGTTTAAACATTTACAAAATTACTATAAAACATAGTTTGCAACAATTATACAATACCTATTTATCGAGATAGAATAAAACAGTTTTATAGAAGTTGTTTCATTATCTCAAATGAAACTTTTTTGTTTTGACTAACACTATAAAAGTAAGCTTTTGTTCTTAAATTGTACCTACTGAAAATAATTTATTTTTAAATGGTCCTTAAGATAACAAAAAGGCAAGCACATTGCATCTTTTGAAACAAATAAAATACGTTTGAGTAAATAACATCAGCCATATTGCATTATTTGGTTCTGATATTATGTAAACCCAATACCAGACATACACAAATTCGATTTACAATCTGATGGTTGATATTTTACTGCGAAGGAAATTTTTTGGTATAATATATGGGATATATATAGCAAAATTTTCAAGCGCCTCAAATATATTAGGTATTATTGAGTTTTAGCAGAAAAGGTCAAAAATTCAATCTGTAGTTTTCCCTCATTTGGGCCTGGATTGTGGTAAAATAATTTAAAGGATCCATCTCATACCATTATATAAATACTAAAGTAGTTATTTAAGGCATTTTATCATTGCAAAAATGATTTTTTGTTATACACTCAAAAATGGCCGTCGTAAAGTGAAGTTGAAACAACACAAAATATGGCTTCCATGTTATAAAATACTTTTACCACCTTGGGAGTTCTTATAAAATGTTTTTGCTCTATTAGAGATTTTTATAAAATAATTAATTTATGGGTATATTTTAGGTAAACAGAGACGTACTGCAAAAAAAAACCAGTCTCTATATATTTTCTTAGCAGGTAACGGGTCTTCAAAAAAAAATCAAAGATTGCTTTGATTACGAAAACGTATGTCGCATTATTGTTTCTTTATTGGTCAGGTTTTTTGACATGATATTTTGACAATAAACAATGGCGATTGCATGGCGAGCAAGAATGTCTAATTCGTTTTATAAATGTATTCCTTAATGCTTTTGTATCCTCACAAACATTTTTTTGTTTTATAATTATTATATATAGCTTTTATTATGACAGAGTTCATGATAATTATATAATAATTTTTTTTAAGGTTCCATCTGAGTGCAAAATGCTTTAGACAGCAATAATATCCGAAAGAAAATATTAGTAAATTAATTTTATAAATGTTTCACATAGCGCTAATAAAACAATTTTATAGATGTTCGCAAACGAATGAACTAGTATCAGATAACACCAATATAAATCTAATATAAAACAGATTTGTTCGGTGAGCTAAAATGTCATATAAAATTATTGTGTAAACGTTTATAAAACAATATTAAAATTTGTCATTAAACTGTTTTGTATTTTTGCTCCAAGAACGTTCTTACGACTACCTTATAGAGCAGAATACTTCTTAGAAGCTTAATTATCTCGCTTGCAATTTTAATAAAACAAAATGGCGTTCGTCGAGCAGTAATAAACTAATTATAAAATAAAATAGCAGCGGACAGTTAAAAATTATAAAATATAATTGCTAGTTGGGTAGCGTACAAAAAAATACTAATATTTTCACTTTGTCAAACAATTTTTTCTCAATTTTCTATTTCTCAATTCATTTTTCCTAATTTTCCGCTTATTCTCTGGAAAATACTGGATAATAATCTTCAAGTCCTGAATCTTGATCGACTTTCTTCGTTTTTGAATGAGAATTTTGGGATCAAATCTTAAATTCTTGATCGTTTTTTTTTCTAATTTTTCGTTGTTTTTCTGGAGAAGACTGGAAGATTCTTTGGGTCCTAAATCCTAAAACATTCTTCTGTAAATTTCCTATTTTTCCCCAAGAAGATTCTTAGGATTTCTAAGCTGAGTCATTTATCACTCTCTAATTCTTTTTCAAAAAAACTTTTACCAATCAAATCTTGATCGTTACTTTCCTTTTTTCCCTGAAAAGACTGGAAAAATCTTTATTAATACCAAAAATGATGATATATTAGAATTTTCTTTTTAAATTAAAAAATCATAAGGGACCTTCCAAACTACAAATTGTGAATCATGAATTTAGAAGATCGCTTAAGTTCAAGATTCTGGAAAATACAGAAATTGAAGAAAATTGAAAAGGAAATTTTTAACAACGTGAAAAAGTTTTTCTTTATTTTGTTCTTGTCTGTTGAATTTGAGAGAGATATTTTCAATAAAACCCATATACGAAAATACTTATAAAGAATAAACTTTAAATTTTTTCTATATAAGGTACAGTTAAAGCAAATTATAATTTTCTCAATAAAGTCACAAAAGTCTCCAAAGTATGAATTAATCTTCAGGGATAAAATCGTGCTCTGAAAACAGACTTTTCGTGATATTTCGGATTTCATTGACTATGTCCATAAAAACCGAGATATTTCCATAAAGTTGCTCCAAAACAATTTTAGAATTTTACAGCGTTGAAGCCTCCTCAACTTCCAGTTTCCTTATGAAAAATTTTTCTGCGACAAAATTTTGATTTCGATTCTTTGGTGTGGCAACCTTATTGAGGAAGATAATTTGAAAATTTTGAAGTTTCAACGCGATTTTCTTTCAGAAACTATAAGTCCAAATGTGCTGAAATTTTCAGGGACTCTAGTTCTCTACTGGGATAAGAATCGCTGAAAATTTCAGTTTTCTATTTAAAATAGAAAAAAAGTTATGATTTTTCAAAGTTTTCAAAAATCCATATCATAAGGTAGGTACTTAGGTAAATACCTACCTATTCAATGTGAAGAAAAACACCTAGTCCAATTTTTTTCAAAATTAAGATTTTAGTGCAGTCTTGTGAGAAACTCAATAATCTATGATCCAACAAAATATTTGGGAGATAAATTGTTAGATGGTGCCACACAACCATGAAAAGAAATTTGCACAAGTCCGTCGTCGTCATAAGACAGAGTGAAACTTGCGTAAGTCCAATCTTTTCTGTGCATTTTTGCCGGTGATTTGTTACGATTTGTATCATGTAGTTTTTCTTCACAAAGGTTTTTTGCGCCTCCTGTAAAATTTACCTTCTTGGACTTGGGCAATTTTCATATGATGTCGACGATATGAAAGTTGTAGGTAATATCGTCTATGGTAATATCAGAAAGATTTCAATGATGTTGGTTACAAGTATACTGGGTGTGACACAGAAGTTTGGCGAAGCAAAGTTTTACTTTTTTAAATGGAAAATCCCGTATATTATTGCCCTATTGGATTGGCCTTTCAATCCTGATTCCAAATATACTAGGTTCTTAAGTTTATTCCTCATAGTCCAGCCTCTGAATGTCCCATTTTGAAGAAATTATATGGATTTTTACATGAATGATTACATTTATATTTTGCTAGTGGCCTCATCTATACTTCACCTTTTTTGTTAATTATTCCACTCCTTTTTGACCTATTTTCTCGTGGACTATCTATATACTTATATAAAAATCAAAGTTCACGGGGTATCCGGATATGCGCTCCAAAACCACTTATCCGATTACGACGAAACTTTGGTAGGTTGTTATGGCCATCCCAAGGAAGGTTTGTGGATAGGTTACGCATCTCGGAAAAAGAAATTAATTTTCAATTAATTATTAATTTAATTGTAAACAAACTCATTCACATTAAATAACAACATAACCCAACTTTTTTTGACAGCATGAAACAACGTTGCCATATTTCATTTATTTAGGCTTGCATTCAACCGACGTAACTTTATTATTTTGTGAATTCAAGAACGGCTGGACCGATCTTGAATTAATACCACGTATCTCTATATAAGGTGAATTCGATTGACCCAAATTAGATCGATTTGGGTTCATTTTAAGTGAACTTCTTCTGATCTAGATCATTTTTTTGTTGATGAGGGTGCACTGATCCAGCTTGAATCGAACACAGTGTGGTTCACTTAAATTGAACCAGATCGATCTAATGCGGTCAATCGAATCGGCTATAGAGGAGAGTGATATAAGCTATTTTTTATCCCGAAAAAAAAAAGTTCGGTTGCGTAAAACTCTGATACACTGGAACGCCTATAAACAGCCCGGGGCGCTCTAGAGCAGCTCTGGAGTACTTAAAATGCGTCACTGAACTCACTGGCAAGCGACTATGATATCGGATTAAAAAAAATTAAATAAAAAATCAACAACAAAATTTGAAAAGAAGTGTATTATTTCAAAATGTATTTACATGCTGGCAACGCAGCGGGTCATTAGCTAGTTAGGAATAAACCTGAAAAACCTAGTACATTTGGAATCAGGTTTGAAAGGCTCATCCAATGGGACAATAATGTACAGGGTTCTCCATTTAAAAAAGTATAACTTTGCTTCGCCACACTTTTGTGTCACACCCTGTAACTAACATCATTGAAATTTTTTAAATATTACCTTCAATTTTCATATTTGACATTTCTGGGTATCTCTTCAAACAGGTGAGATCGGGGTGGGTGCAAAATATAGACAATCACCCGTTACCTAGCTACCTTAGTACCAAAATTATGAAATGTGCCAGTACTCTATAATAGATTCCAGTCAATACACAGTGTAATTGTCAATCTCCCACTTATATTGAAAATGCCAATTGTCACACTATAGTTCCTTTTGCGAGTGTATTTCCCTTGAAAAAGGGTACTTTAAGGACTTACATTGAATTATTTTTTTAAAAAATTCAATCTGATAAAGCCACAGTATAGACCCAATGAAGTGAGAAATTATGTTCCTTAATATATCTTTTTTTATATATCAAGGAGGATATAAGAAAATAAAAAGAAATAAAACTCACAAAATAAATTATGACAAACATTTACTGGCATCAAAGTTAAAAATCTACAAAAAAACATAATTTGTACAAGGCGGACTTTAAACAATAATAATATAAAAGTACATAATATATAATATTTACAATAAAATATAAAATTCAACCCCACTAAACAAAATTAAAAAAAAAAAAAAACAAACAAATATTAGCAAAGTGAGATCAGTCTTATAACAATATACAATAAAATAAAACAATCAAGAAGGCATTTTTTTTTTTTGGACAAATTTCACCAAAAAAAAAAAAATATATTAATAATACTTTAAGTACTGGCTTCAATTACAATTAGTTTATACAAAATAAACTTAATAATGCCATAAGCTCATTATAATTATTGCTATATCAACTATAAGTACTTGGGTATTTACATTTGATGTGCTCATAACTCCTCATCAGCATTAGTCTCTACAACCTAGATACACAAAGCATCAATTCAAAATTTTTATTGACTAGTAGTAAATATTTACATTAAGTATAGCAAAAATTGATACATAATATACACGCATTCACAAAAAACTAGTACAAGTCTCATTTTCTTTCATGCTGACACTCTTATAAACAACGTATTGTTATACCATTGTGACGTTTCTTCGTTTCTTCTCGCCACTATTGACAGAAGTCATCGAGCCTTGAAGACTTTGGTTGAATTGTACACTTTGGTCTCTAGGCATGCTCTGGTAAATTTGATTCGGTTGAGCTCCCTGATGGACTCCGTAAATACTGTAATTTACCGGGTACCCTCCATTGTTAAAAGCTGGCAAGGGTGGTACCGGAGGAGGATACTGTTCAACTATTTGGTGCCCGTCCATGTTTTGATTGTTCAAAGACATGTGATCCATTTGAGCTAAAACTTCTTGGTGAGTCATCAAGCCTTCTTCGTTCATCATATTTTCCATTGGACTGTATCTGCGTTCGTGTTCGTGCAATAGTTGCGAGGCACTCCAGGAGTTGTAGGGACTCAATGGTTGGCCATTTCTTGTAATTGTGTTATTGGAAATTACGCTTAAGCCTGAATAAGCTGGAGGTAAATTGTCTCGTTGTTGTTGCATTTGTTGTTGTTGTTTTAGTTCTTCGATTAATTGTTGCTCTTGTTGATTGACTAAAGAATAGCGCTTTTTCGTTTCATCTTCGTAAGCGTAGTTATTGACTGGCACACCAACTTGATGGGGATCTGGCATTTCAGCACTTTGATATGTATTGTGTTGAGGTGATGAATTGTGCTGAGGGCTGCTAGGCACAATTGTAATTGTCGAATTCAAATTATCTTTTTTAATGGCGTTTGATTTATGGTTGCTTTCGCCCTTTTTTCTTACGACACAAAAGTAGCAATAGACTATTAGTAGGACGATTAAGAGAATTATTCCAATTACAACTGGAAGAATTAGTTCAAGTCCAATTGACATGCTTTTAGCAATACTTGGGCCTACTTGATCAACTCCAACAGGATTTACGTGATTTGGCCAAATGGATTGTTCGTTTGGTGATAAGGTTGGGGCAACTGTTGGAGGCGGAGGTGGTGACGATACCAAAACTCTAGCAAAATTCGAAACAGGCCCAGATAAATCCGCGTAAGATTTAATTGCAAAATACCATGGCTTGTCTAAAAGGTCTTTGTTTTGAGACATGTCTAAGATGTAAGAGGTTTCAGATCCAGGATCCATGGGATAAGGCCCGTTGCTACCAACATCCCATACAACAGCAGCAGTTTCGAATCTATCCAAAATTTCCAAAACAGTGCTTGCATATTTGATTTCGTATCTGGATACTCTGTTGCCGCCCATATCAGGTGCGGTCCAAGTCAGTTTTGCTTTCATGTCTTCCGGGTAAACTTCCACGCGTAAATCGCCGATTCTTCCAACTTGCAAGGGACCAAGTTCGGATTGTTCTTTGAGATCTTCGGAGGTAATCATTAGAGTTTGCTTGGCTAGAACTCGTTGGAACGGTGAGATTTGTTGGGCGCCGTTGCTTTTGATTGCGCTGCCACAGCAAGGTTTGCCTTCTGGAAAAGAAAAAATTTGAATTAGGTTGATTTATTTATGACAAGGCCAATTTACATTATAGTTTTGCAACATATCTAAATCTGAGCACATAACAAACAGTATTTTGATGAATTCACCAAGTGGGACAGCCACAAGCAGTCTCAGCGCAGATACAAAGATCTTATGAGAGGGGAAATCGTGGAGGATATTCTGCGGAAACGTAGACGAGCTTCCGGCAGCCGCCAAGCTCCAAAAGATTCTCTCGAAAGACCCAGGACGAGAGCTGGGGTCACTAAGGTTTCCCTCCGGTTTTTATAGCGCTACCGCAGAGGAGGCACTTGCTTGGCTCCTGGAAACACACTTTCCGGGCTCTGAAATCCCGCAAATTGGTGAACCACCAATGAATGCTGCATAAGCTGGCATAAGGTCAGCTGACTGGAAGACAGCTGCGAGGGTGGTATCAGAAAACTTTGTAAGATGAGACATCCACTCATTTGAGATGGAATCTCTCCGGTTCTTTTACAAAAGGGGCTGAAATTACTGACTCCGCACCTTATACGCGTCTTTAGAGCCTGCTTCACATGATATGATCTAGTACCACATTTCTGACGTAAGATCCAAGTGGTATTCAAGCCAGGACTCTATAATTACGAATCGGCTTATGATTACAGATCAGCCTATCCTCGATTTTTCTAAAAACGATGGAGAAACTGGTGGACACATTCATCAGAGAAGGGGCATTGAAAACAATGCCCTTGCACCCTAATCAACATGTCTACAGGACTGCCATGTCAACTGAGACGGCTCTCCACAGTCTTGTAATAACGCTGGAGCGAGGAATGTCTCATAAAGAGATGGCTCTAGGGGTATTTCTAGACATCGAAGGGGCATTTGATAACACCTCATTCGACTTTATAAAAAATGCTGCACGAAGCTTTGGCATAGAGAACACCAGTGTCAAATGGATCTGTGTCATGCTGGAAAGCAGAATCATTACAAGCTCGATTGGTAGTGCGAAGATCAGCTCAACCGTAGCTAGAAGCTGCCCGCAGGGGAGTATACTCTCTCCTCTGCTGTGGTGTCTGGTACTGGATGGGCTGCTCCGCACTTTGAATGAGGAAGATATGTACACTCAAGCCTATGCAGACGATCTTGTCACCGTTGTGCCTGGTAGGGCACCCAGCACCATTAAAGGGATCATGCAAAGAGCTCTTAACATGGTAGAAAGATGGTGTGAAACTCACAGGCTTTCGGTAAATTCGGACAAGACCGAGGTAGTACGATTTAAAAAGCGAATAAACGTGGATCTGGAAGGGGTTCACACTCTTTGGATCGAGACTTGTTCCACTGCTAGCCTTTGGGCCTGTAGAAGATCCATCGGACGCACCTGGAGCTTACAACTCCACATAGTCCACTGGTTTTATACAACAGTGATAAGGCTGATGATCACGTATGGCAGCTTAGTTTAATGGAACGCGCTTAGCAAATCCACCTACAGGGCAAAGCTAGAGAAGTTCCAACGACTTGCCTGCATGGCTATAATTGGAGCCTTCAGAACCACCCTAACGTTAACGATGGGGGCCATATTGGGCATAATGCCTCTCCATCTCTTTGTGGAGGCACGGGCCCGGAAGGCTTCTGTCAGACTCAACGACTGAGAACAATGGGTTCACAGAGGGCTGAGTATGGGACATGCAAAGGTCTGGACTGACACAATCAGGCAGAACCTCCTTCTCATTAGAAGGGATGGAAAACCAAAAAGTTCAGCCCCTCCTAGACAATACAAGATCGTCATCCCTACAAGGGAGTGTTGTTAATCAAGCCCCAAATTGTATGTAACACCAATAAAATCAACTAACTAAAAACCGGTACCGGCGGTACCTATATTACAACAAATAAAGGTATTATAAAATAATTCCAACAAAGTCCGAGTATACAGAATCAACCTGGAACCTCCTCTCCATGCTGTCCAAAATAAAATTCTAACACAAAACCAATTTGTTGATATCAACCTATACCATATAATCATACTTCTATATTGAAAATGTATTACTCACCATCAATTTTTGAAGAACTCCATGTATAAGCTGTATTATCATTGTTGGTAATCACCGTTTCAAACGTATAAAGCCCTACATCTTCAGGACTAAAATATCTCGTATAAACTCCATCCCCTTTAGTAATATCTGGATCACCAGATCCTGAATCCAACAAATACATTATAGTCTTCTGAGGAGTGGTATCATTAACTCCCACTTTAGTTACAGTGACTTCAACTTTGGCACCTAATATTGGCACGTCACCGTATTTAGCTTCAGCCAATAAAACATACAAGGCGGAATTGAGTTTATGAATTCTGAAGTTTGTTCTTACAACGGGAATGTAGGGTGAGCTAGGAGTGGCCATCACTTGTAGAAAGTGAGGCTGTGGGTTTCCAGGGTAAGGTTCTACATTATAAGTCCAAGTGCCGCTTTCAGAAAGATTTGCATTGAGAGTGATCATTTTAAAGTCGATGAATTTGTCAGTTCTTGAGTCATAGACGTGGTTGCTGGGGCTGGTCAGCTTTAAGCCTTTGAATAGTGGGGAATAGTTGTTGTAGGTGAAAAAGTTGAATTGGGCTGGCTCAGTCATGCTTGCGTCCATTATGAAGGTGCCGCTTACCAGGGGTCTGCCAGTTTTGTCAGTGATTTCTCTACGGTGAACCTGAAATAATAACATTTTGTTTAATTTTCATTATTTGAACTCAATATTATTTACTAACCTCCATTGCCAAATCCGATTGACTTCCTGAATAAAATCCTTGAACAATATTATATAAAATATTGTGTAAATCAAAATAGGTGGTCAACATGGTAGTATCAACATTTAATTTTTTTTCAAAAACAGTATAATCAACTCCATTGGTAATTTCAGCCAAATATCTTAAAGTATTTGGCCTAACAATGTCGGGATAGTTAATTGTAGCTACACGTATTTTATTTCTCATCAAATCGTCAGCAATATTTTTGATTTGGTCTGTGAGGGTCATGCCTGGAGCTATGACAACTATGACACTGCTCGCTGGCCCATTGGTTCTGGTTCTTTCATTGAGCATATCCATGGCCACTTTGAGTGAACAATGAAGACAGCCTGGTTGTGTAGAATCGCTTGGGGTATAAGGTAGAGCCGAATAGAATTTGTCTCTGTTTGAAGTACCAAATCTGTCAATGTTTCCGTTTTTTACGCTCAAGATTTTAAAAGATTTTACTGGGTTGGCTGTTGACAGTACTAGACCTAACTCAGAATTATCTGGTACTACGTAATTGGCCCAAAATCTCATAGCCAATCGTAAATAGCTCCACGATTCACGTTGTAACATGTCTTTGTTGTTTTCAATTACAAACACGTATCTGGTTAGGTTTTGTTTTTTGTAAACAATCAAAGGAGCTGTGTCAGCTATTTGATTGTTGCTAAAGCCATTTTGATCATTTTTGCCTGAGAAATCATCATGTTTCAGTATGACATCCAAAACACTTCTACGTTGACAAATCAAATTATGTTTGGTGGGTGCAAATCGGTCGTGATTTCCGTCGTCGCAAAACATCGAAACTGACGGAGCTTCGGCGGCGAACATTATCGAAGATCTCGCATCTGGGTCAACCATTTCGGTGACGTTGTAGGCGAATGAATAATCCGAAGAACAAACGCCATTGTCGGTTATATGCAAATCGGAACACCCAGTTACTTTGGTTTTTCTGTGGACGTCGTCGTAGAAGCACATCGGATATACAGGGTCGTTGAAGTAACCTTGCTCTTCGAACACACCGTATCGGTACATGGCGAATTCTTTGATTAAGGAGCGAGGTAGAATTAAACTTGGGCGTTGTAGGGTTTCGTAGCTGAGGTAAATTTGGTCACCGGGTTGGCCGCAGCCTAAAGATTGTTGAGTGTAGAGGTTGCCACGGACTGGATCGGATGGTAAAACTGCAAATGAATATTTGAAAATTAAATCGATTATTATAGATAAAAATCAAGGGGAATTTTTTGCCAAAACTGTAGGGAATTTGGAAGAATTTGTAGGGAAATTGTGATTAATTTATGGGAAATTGGAGGAATGTATAAGAAATTGGGGGAAAATTTATTGAATATGGTTCAATATCAATATTATTTTGGAAAAAATTAAGCTTCCAAAAAACCATGAGGAGAGCATTTGAACAAATGACTTTTGCCTATTTATAAAGGATTTAATTGGCTTTATTTGGGTCCAAGGGGCGGTTCATTTCCAAAATCGCTCTACATTTTAATCCGAAATTCCTTGAAATTCTATCGAAATCCTTTGGAAATCCCGAAATCGCGAACACCGGAATCCTATCCCAAGTTCTTATGAAATCCCAATCAAAATCCTTCTGAAATCTCGGAATCCCAGCCGAAATCTTTCTGAAATACCGAAATTCCAATAGATTTATCGGAATCAAGGGAAGTTTAAAGGGGAGGTTGAGGGAGTAATTACCCCTCCCAGACAAAGATTTTTTTTTTAAACATTTATTAATTACAATAAAATTTCAAGCATTGAAAATCATAAAATCGTAGCTCCATTAATAATAATTCATTTGTTTTGGGTTTTTAGGATTTTTTGAATTGAACCTTTAGGAAAAAGTCCTTAAAATTTCAACTTTCCACTCACTTCAGTTTTTGAGTGAAAAAATTGTTTGTAATGTCTTACTTTACAAAACATCTTTTTTTTCAAAAAATCGTAACTCCAATAATAATAACTCAATTGCTTTGAGTTTTAGGTATTCTTTACATTGAATCATTAGCAAAAAGTCCTCAAAATTTCAACTTCCCACTCACTATAGTTTTTGAGTGAAAAAATTGTTTGTAAAGTCTTACATTACAAAACATCATTATTTTGAAAAAATCGTTATTCCATTAATAATAACTCAATCGCTTTGAGTTTTTGGCATTTTTTACATTGAATCATTAGGAAAAAGTCCTCAAAATTTCAACTTCCCACTCACTTTAGTTTTTGAGTGAAAAAATTGTTTGTAATGTCTTACTTTACAAAACATCATTATTTTCAAAAAATCGTTATTCCATTAATAATAACTCAATCGCTTTGAGTTTTTGGCATTTTTTACATTGAATCATTAGGAAAAAGTCCTCAAAATTTCAACTTCCCACTCACTTTATTTTTTGAGTGAAAAAATTATTTGTAATGTCTTACTTTACAAAACATCATTATTTTCAAAAAATCGTTACTCCATTAATAATTACTCAATCGCTTTGAGTTTTTGGCATTTTTCATATTGAATTATTAGGAAAAAGTCCTCAAAATTTCAACTTCCCACTCACTTTAGTTTTTGAGTGAAAAAATTATTTGTAAAATCTTACATTACAAAACATCATTATTTTCAAAAAATCGTTATGCCATTAATAATAACTCAATCGCTTTGAGTTTTTGGCATTTTTTACATTGAATCATTAGGAAAAAGTCCTCAAAATTTCAACTTCCCACTCACTTTAGTTTTTGAGTGAAAAAATTGTTTGTAATGTCTTACTTTACAAAACATCATTATTTTCAAAAAATCGTTATTCCATTAATAATTACTCAATCGCTTTGAGTTTTTGGCATTTTTCATATTGAATCATTAGGAAAAAGTTCTCAAAATTTCAACTTTCCACTCACTTTAGTTTTTGAGTGAAAAAATTGTTTGTAAAGTCTTACTTTACAAAACATCATTATTTTTAAAAAATCGTTACTCAATCGCTTTGAGTTTTTGGTATTTTTTACATTGAATTATTAGGAAAAAGTCCTCAAAATTTCAACTTTCCACTCACTTTAGTTTTTGAGTGAAAAAAATTGTTTGTAAAGTCTTACTTTACAAAACATCATTATTTTCAAAAAATCGTAACTCCAATAATAATAGCTCAATCGCTTTGAGTTTTTGGTATTTTTTACATTGAATCATTAGGAAAATGTCCTCAAAATTTCAACTTTCCACTCACTTTAGTTTTTGAGTGAAAAAATTGTTTGTAAAGTCTTACATTACAAAACATCATTATTTTCAAAAAATCGTTATTCCATTAATAATAACTCAATCGCTTTGAGTTTTTGGCATTTTTTACATTGAATCATTAGGAAAAAGTCCTCAAAATGTCAACTTCCCACTCACTTTAGTTTTTGAGTGAAAAAATTGTTTGTAAAGTCTTACATTACAAAACATCATTATTTTCAAAAAATCGTTATTCCATTAATAATAACTCAATCGCTTTGAGTTTTTGGCATTTTTTACATTGAATCATTAGGAAAAAGTCCTCAAAATTTCAACTTCCCACTCACTTTAGTTTTTGAGTGAAAAAATTGTTTGTAATGTCTTACTTTACAAAACATCATTATTTTCAAAAAATCGTAACTCCATTAATAATAACTCAATCGCTTTGAGTTTTAAGTATTTTTTACAATGAATCATTAGGAAAAATTCCTCAAAATTTCAACTTTCCACTCACTTTGGTTTTTGAGTGAAAAAATTGTTTGTAATGTCTTACTTAACAAAACATCATTATTTTCAAAAAATCGTTACTCCATTAATAATTACTCAATCGCTTTGAGTTTTTGGCATTTTTCATATTGAATCATTAGGAAAAAGTTCTCAAAATTTCAACTTCCCACTCACTTTAGTTTTTGAGTGAAAAAATTGTTTGTAATGTCTTACTTTACAAAACATCATTATTTTCAAAAAATCGTTATTCCATTAATAATAACTCAATCGCTTTGAGTTTTTGGCATTTTTTACATTGAATCATTAGGAAAAAGTCCTCAAAATTTCAACTTCCCACTCACTTTAGTTTTTGAGTGAAAAAATTGTTTGTAAAGTCTTACATTACAAAACATCATTATTTTCAAAAAATCGTTATTCCATTAATAATAACTCAATCGCTTTGAGTTTTTGGCATTTTTTACATTGAATCATTAGGAAAAAGTCCTCAAAATTTCAACTTCCCACTCACTTTAGTTTTTGAGTGAAAAAATTGTTTGTAAAGTCTTACATTACAAAACATCATTATTTTCAAAAAATCGTTCTTCCATTAATAATAACTCAATCGCTTTGAGTTTTTGGCATTTTTTACATTGAATCATTAGGAAAAAGTCCTCAAAATTTCAACTTCCCACTCACTTTAGTTTTTGAGTGAAAAAATTGTTTGTAAAGTCTTACATTACAAAACATCATTATTTTCAAAAAATCGTTATTCCATTAATAATAACTCAATCGCTTTGAGTTTTTGGCATTTTTTACATTGAATCATTAGGAAAAAGTCCTTAAAATTTCAACTTTCCACTCACTTCAGTTTTTGAGTGAAAAAATTGTTTGTAATGTCTTACTTTACAAAACATCTTTTTTTTTCAAAAAATCGTAACTCCATTAATAATAACTCAATTGCTTTGAGTTTTAGGTATTCTTTACATTGAATCATTAGCAAAAATTCCTCAAAATTTCAACTTTCCACTCACTTTAGTTTTTGAGTGAAAAAATTATTTGTAAAATCTTACATTACAAAACATCATTATTTTCAAAAAATCGTAACTCCATTAATAATAACTCAATCGCTTTGAGTTTTTGGCATTTTTTACATTGAATCATTAGGAAAAAGTCCTTAAAATTTCAACTTTCCACTCACTTCAGTTTTTGAGTGAAAAAATTGTTTGTAATGTCTTACTTTACAAAACATCATTATTTTTAAAAAATCGTTACTCAATCGCTTTGAGTTTTTGGTATTTTTTACATTGAATTATTAGGAAAAAGTCCTCAAAATTTCAACTTTCCACTCACTTTAGTTTTTGAGTGAAAAAATTGTTTGTAAAGTCTTACTTTACAAAACATCATTATTTTCAAAAAATCGTAACTCCATTAATAATAACTCAATCGCTTTGAGTTTTTGGCATTTTTTACATTGAATCATTAGGAAAAAGTCCTTAAAATTTCAACTTTCCACTCACTTCAGTTTTTGAGTGAAAAAATTGTTTGTAATGTCTTACTTTACAAAACATCTTTTTTTTTCAAAAAATCGTAACTCCATTAATAATAACTCAATTGCTTTGAGTTTTAGGTATTCTTTACATTGAATCATTAGCAAAAATTCCTCAAAATTTCAACTTTCCACTCACTTTAGTTTTTGAGTGAAAAAATTATTTGTAAAATCTTACATTACAAAACATCATTATTTTCAAAAAATCGTAACTCCATTAATAATAACTCAATCGCTTTGAGTTTTTGGCATTTTTTACATTGAATCATTAGGAAAAAGTCCTTAAAATTTCAACTTTCCACTCACTTCAGTTTTTGAGTGAAAAAATTGTTTGTAATGTCTTACTTTACAAAACATCATTATTTTTAAAAAATCGTTACTCAATCGCTTTGAGTTTTTGGTATTTTTTACATTGAATTATTAGGAAAAAGTCCTCAAAATTTCAACTTTCCACTCACTTTAGTTTTTGAGTGAAAAAATTGTTTGTAAAGTCTTACTTTACAAAACATCATTATTTTCAAAAAATCGTAACTCCATTAATAATAACTCAATCGCTTTGAGTTTTAGGTATTTTTTACATTGAATCATTACAAAAAAGTCCTCAAAATTTCAACTGACCACTCACTTTAGTTTTTGAGTGAAAAAATCATTTGTAAAGTCTTACATTACAAAACATCATTATTTTCAAAAAATCGTAACTCCATTAATAATAACTCAATCGCTTTGAGTTTTTGGTATTTTTTACATTGAATTATTAGGAAAAAAAAGTCCTCAAAATTTCAACTTTCCACTCACTTTAGTTTTTGAGTGAAAAAATTGTTTGTAAAGTCTTACTTTACAAAACATCATTATTTTCAAAAAATCGTAACTCCATTAATAATAACTCAATCGCTTTGAGTTTTTGGTATTTTTTACATTGAATCATTAGGAAAATATCCTCAAAATTTCAACTTTCCACT